CCTCCTGTGACCTCCATGGTCACAGACGCCACCTCGGCGTCTCACCCGCGAAGGAGGGGACGGTGCTACCACGGAAACGTAAGAAGGTCGCGTTGCCCGCGCTGGAGTCAGGGCGGGAGGAAGCGCCCACCCCGCAGTCCGCGTCCGCGTGGGCTCCTCGTCCCGCGGGGCTCGAGCCGCCACCTGCTGGTCAGGCTGGGAACTGCACCCGCGGCCTCCGGCCCTCCCCAGCCCTGGGGGCGGCTGGCGCGCCTGTGTCCCAGCAGTCCAGAGATGTGTCACTGGTGTCGCCGCGCCAGGCCCGTGCCAGGGACCCCCAGGCGTTGTCCCTGCATAAGCTTCCGTATTCGTGCCTGGCTCTGGTCAGAACCCTGCGACTTCCCCACGTGGCTGGACCCCGTGCTGCCCGCCCCCCCCCAGCACCCCTTGCACCTCTCTGGCCTGGACTGCTTCGCCGCGAGGGATCACGGGCTGGTCCGCAGTTAGGCCCAACACCCTCCCGCCCCAGGGCCTTTGCACTTGTGGTCCAGTGCCCGGTGTGTTCTCCCGCCAGGTACCAAGCAGTCACCCCTCATCTCCCCAGCTTGACACCCCAATGTCTCCTCTCAGCAGGCCTGGCCCTGGAGTTGTTTAGAACACCAGCACCACAAGCCAGGCAGCGTGGTATACCCCTGCGGCTCCTCAGAAGGCTGAGGCAGAAGGATCTCAAGCTAGAGACCAGCCTGGGCCACTTACAGAGATTCTGCCTCAAAATAAAAAAGGACTGGGGGTATAGCTCAGGGGGCACAGCACTTGCCTAGCATTTTCCAGAATCACGTGCACAAACACACACGTATGCACACACACATGCACACACGTGGACACTTTAAGGTCCAGGACTGCTGTCCGCTCTGAGCTTCCCTGTGCGCTAGGTCACCCACTCCTTGCCTTGGGGCTGACGGGCAGGTACCTGAAGCTCTGCCGTTTGTAGCCCTGGATCCTTGGGAGCAGGGAGGGCTGAGGCTGACACCATCCCACTGCGAAGGGACCTCCTGAGTAGAGACACTTGCCCCAGGCAGCTACTCAGGAGGCTGAGGCGGGAGGATCACCGCAAGTTCACAGCCAGCCTGAACTACATAGTGAGACCCTGTCTCTAAGTAACTAAATAAACCAACACTCAGAAGTCCCTGTGGGCCATGATGCAGTCACACCCCAGCTGGGGACACGGAGCACCTGGCCCAGACCCCGCTCAGCCCCCCACCCCAGAGAGCCAGGCGGTGACTTTCTCCCCCCCCCCCCAGGGTCCTGCCCGGCAGGACAGTGGCCCCAGGCCGTGTGGGGCAGCAGCTCAAAGCCAGCGGGGACTGGTGACATCAGGCTTGCTCAGACCTGTCCCTGGCCCGCCTGGGCCTGGCCACGCCATGGGGCCAGGTACTGCCGTGTCTGATAAGCGCCCGCTGGCTCTAGCCAGGCAGAGCTGGGCTGCAGTCGCCCGGCTGCGACAAACCCCGCTCTCTGTCTCTGTCCTCTCTGTCACCTCTGCGCCACGGAGGCTGAGCCAGGCCGGCCTGGGGTTGAGTCCTCTAGGGACGTGGCCTCCGTTTCCTCCTCTGTGACACGCAGGTTCACATCGTTACTACCTGTAGGACGTTTGCTGTGTGGCAGGCGCCGGGCAAAGAGCTGGACACGTGTCCCTCTCAGAAAATAGAACGGCTGGCTGCACTGCACACCTGCCGAGTGACCCTGGGCAAGTTCGTAGCCGCTCTGAGCTGCAGGCACGGGAGGGCTGTGAGGCCGCGCTGGGCCCACCCGCCTGGCCCGTGATCGGGCCAGCATCATCTTCACTGGTGGCAGCGGATCTTCATCTTCCGAGAGTGAACTTCATTTTCTTTCTTTCTCTCTGTTTCTTGAGACAGTGTCTCACTATGGAGCCCAGGCTGCCCTCAAACTCTCAGCGATCCTCCTGCCTCAGCCTCCCAAGCGCTGAGATTACAGGCATGTGCTGCCACGCCCAGCAGGAATTTAATTTTAGAAAGCAATGAAAATTGCGCATGGTGAGTAATGGCAGTGGTCAGGTTGAGAAATATGGTTCTGAGTCCAAAACAAGGTGTAATTACAGAGCCCCGAGCATGTTTTTCCTGCAGTGTGGGTACCTGAGTGGAGAGCAAGGGACCAGAGATTATCTGAGCCCCTGATCCGAATCTGACCCCCAAATGGACCCCGCCTTTATCCCGGATCCCCACTCCCGACCCCCAGACACGCTGACCCCAGCCTGAACTTTCACTCAGCCAGGTTCCTGCCCCTGCAGTCTCTGCCCTCTTCTTTCCCAGGCTGCACTCTGACCCTTTCTGTTCCTGAGGAGAGCTCAGCCCGGTGCTAATTCCTAAAGGATTAAAGCAATCGCCTTCCAGGGTGTACAAGACACAACTGCGCTGTCCTAGGGAGTCACTAGAGGAGCTATTTAAAGTTTTAAACATTAAAATTGGAGCCGGGCATGGTGGCACACACCTGTAATCTCAGCACTTGGGAGGCTGAAGCAGGAGGATCATTGAGAGTTCAAGACCAGCCTGAGATACATAATGAGAACCTGTCTCAAAAAAAAAAAAAAAAAGAGAGAGAGAGAAAAATTAAAATTGTTTTTCAAGGCCGGGCATGGTGCTGCATGCCTGTAATCCCATCACTTGGGAGGCTGAGACAGGAGGTTTGAGACCAGCCTGAGCTACAAAGTGAGCTCAAGTCCAGCCTGAACTACATAGCGAGACCCTGTCTCAAAAAGACAAAAAATAAAATTGTTTTTCATGTGTTTTCAGCAGTGACATACTTAAAATTACATATTAAAATTAGGAAGGTAAAATACTCTGAATAAATGCTCAAAATTCAGTCAAATGTAGACCGAGGATGTAGCACTGCCTAGCATCCCAAAGTTAAAAAAAAAAAAAAAACTAATATAAATGCCTTTCTGAAATTTTAATTCTTATTGCGTTAGGATCACAGGTGTGTGCTACCATGCCCAGCTGTTAATATTTTAGGGGTTTTTTGTTTTTTGTTTTTTCATACCAGGAATCAAACTCAGGACCTTGCACTTGCCAGGCAGCCACTTGTGCCACTGAGCTATATCCCCAGCCCCCAGCTGTTAATATTTTGGAAAAAACAGAAATGTTTGCAAAATAGCATCCAATGCTCTACTAGTTGCCAGTATAAAGGATAAGTGGGCATATATACTCCCATCTACCCAGGAGGCTGAAACAGGAGGATCTCTTGAGCCCAAGAC